AAAGAGTGTGTTTGGGTAGGGCAGATATGAAACAGCCAGAGGGGAAGCTGTGCCCAGGTCAATCGGGAGCTCTTTGCAACGTGCTGCAGTAATTAGTAAAATCATAGTTCTTCTGCTCTATGTTTGTGATCCAAATGCATCTCCAGCAACATGACTAATTGTATAATTCAGGAAAGGGTCACTGCAGTGTCTGCTATGATGTATTTATTTTTAGCACATCCCGGATCAGCCTAGACACCCATTTCAGCCACACCCGCCCATGCCACTCTGTTCCTGACAGACCTCTGAAAGCCTCTGGAGCATCAAAAACCTGTTCCCATCAGAAAACTTCTGTGGAAACGCTGTAAATTGCTTCTATAAATAATGTAATTCCATGGTCAATTGAGTGAGTCCCACTTCATCTTTTCCACACTGCTTAGAACAAAAGTTTAAATGGTACAGAATATCCCAAAGGGAAAGCCCAAAATGGGCTTTGCAAGCCCAAAGTGGAGTACAGTCTCAGTGGAGTTATGTTATATGCACGGATGAAGGATATACTTTGAAAATACCTGATTTCTGCAACCGGCACATATTGCTGATGAAGACCTCCTTGTCTGTGAGTATCTTGTAAAGATGATTGAATACTCACATTATTTTGAACTTCTACCTATCTGATACAGCTGCTAAGCTCCTATGCGAAACTGAAATGCTTTTCTCACATGCTTTACGTTCCAAAGTTGGAATTAAAAAAACAAAGTTGTTACTAGAAGAGCACTTGAAGCAGAGGGTCAGCACTGAGGACCTACACTATCAAAGAGCAGTGGGGACTGCTGCGATAGCCACGCCAGCAACCACACTGATAACCGGCTTCCTAGGGGAGCAGAAAGTAGACCATATTCAGGATGCTCAGGCTTGTCAAAACTCCGGGTCCCAGTCAGTGCACGGGGAAGTCACGGTGAAGCTGGGAGCCGATCACCTCATGTTGGTGAACAGCTATAGACATCACTTGTACTTTTATTGGCAAGTAGCATAATTTTATTCCCCATGACAATTACAACTATTGTGAATGAGTTGCTCCATTCCTACTCAAACCCTTCCGCTCTTCTTCTCCCTTAGCCATTTCTTCCATAAATGACCAATCCTCATTTTCCAGTTTTTGCACCTGAAAACAGTATTTTCTGCCAGTTCTTGGAAATGCAAGGTGAATGCAATTAGGGAGGAAGCAGACAGTGCATTACAAGAAAGCGTCACTAAGCCAATAAGATAAATTGTGCGCTAGTTCACCTAAATTCAACAGCATTGAGACGCACTAGCCACATGACGCCATTAGCACAGGGAATGGCTTCCAAAGGGAAATAATGGATTCCTCTGAAGCCATTTGAACTGGACAGGATAAAACGTGCAGAGAACCAAAAAACCAGTCCTGCACCAGGAGATTTTTTGCCTCTAATACCTGTGCTGTGTCCTTCCCTTGCTGTCGTTGGCACATCTCGGGGATTGGGTTATTTGGCATAGATCTTTAATAAGTTCTTCTCTTGTTACACACTGGAAACTACTCTAGCAAGTTGTTACAAGTGAAGCCTAACAGTTTGGTGAATACATTTGCTGCCTTCTGAACTACAGCAAATATATTAATACACTACTCTTGTAAGAAAAAACCTTCCTAAAGAGAACCTAAAGCTGCTCTACTGTAATAGCCTTTCTGGGCAGCCAGCTTTTGGTGCTGGCTATAGTTTCCAAGATCTATGTGTTTTGTGGCAAAGCACAGTTAAATTCCATAGGATGTCCAGAAAGCTCCATAATTCAAAGAATTCAGTAGTTTTCAGAAAGAGATTTTAACAGTCTTGTGCAGAAATGAGTAACTACAATTGAATTGCATGCTGGCCCCAAACATTTCCTTCGACATGCCACAGACTTCGTCCTTTACAACCATCTGTAGCAGTCAAGGGGAAATGAGGTTTGGACAACTCGGTAGGAGTTTCAGAAAGTCTGTAATTCCTGGGCAAAAAAAAAAAAAACAAATTTTGGCTTTGGGGGACTTTGCATGGCAGTGGAAGCATTAGCCATGTATCATGTCCAAAGTCGCCCCTCTCTACAGGACGTAACACGGGGAATTTGGGGGTGAAAACATTTTAATTTCTCATTTCTTGCCAGAGAAATCCTCAGCTTTTTTTTCCATTTCACCTACCAATGTTTGGTGATATTTTTGCTTCCATAGCCTTTGAATGAGTTCACAAACACCGATATTTACATCATCTATATTTCTGTGATATATAACCCATGCTGAGACAAGGAGAGGTAATTCATCTGTCAAAGAAAGATGACTTCAGGTTGTCCTTACACTGGGATAGACAGCACCACATGCATTAACATTTTGAAGGTTATCAACATTGTATTTCAAGTAAAAGCCTAGACTCAATGTTGAGTATGCGACAAAGTGGGAAAACTAGTAAAAAATGAAGGAATATATGGGGCTCTGATCACTTCAAGTAATTATCATGCAATGAAAACATGCCTCAACAAATAAGTAAGGTATTTTACAGAGGAAAATAACGTGAATCCTTGGCCAGGAAGGTAAGTAAATCTCCTGGCACTGTTTTCCTCATACTAACTAAAAGCCAAAGCTTTTGCCATTCTGATCAGTTGTTGCCTGAATAGCCAAACCTGCCAAGCCCAAATATGATATTAATCTGCTGCTAGAGATTATAAAAGAAGAAATCTGCAGGAAGCATAAACATCTCATTAATATAATCAGGGATTTAAGTGATTTAACCCTAAAGTTTTGATTACACTGACACTCGTCAAATCAAGTACCACACTGAGAAATCATGACATTAAGACAAACTGAATGTGCTTTTTAGAATGTTTACATAGCTTGTAGAAATCTTCAGACAGCAAGGCTGGTGTAGTGCTCCCATCCCAGCAAAACGCGTAATTTCATTAGAGTGATAAGAAAAGGCTGAAAGGTTAGAGCAGATAAATACGATGCAAAACCATGTGTTGCTTGCTCCATGGTTTCAGCAACCTGAGATGCGTTGCTATATACAACATGCAGCTAACACCCAGGAGCATGTTAGTGCCATTAGAAAAAATGAGATTAAAAATTGTTGTAAAAATACTCTATTGATAAATAAGCTAGGATTTTCACCTGTACGACAGTCAAGCAAGTGTCCACTTTCCACATAGAAGCACTCAGAAAATCCTTGCCCTGTTACTAGTTTGAAACATAACCTCTGGAGCATTAGCTAGTTAGTCTGGCCTGAAAGGGGCCATTGTCTAGCCTGGCTGCTAAGAAAAAAAAAAAGATTTGGAACTAATTAGGACCCCTCCAGACCAGCCTCTAGTACATGTGTGGGTGGCATCAGAGGGCTTCCTACCCCCTTTCTACCTCTCCTGCAAGGGGACAATACCCCAGCAGATCACGCCTGCTGAATTTTGTTCCCTTCGAGCCATTATAACAGCAAGTGATCATCAGAGCACAGCTTTCTCACATGGGGAGGTAGGTTCAGAAGGCACAGCGTAGAGATACCATCACATTAAGTTGTGTTAAACCACTTTTCCTGTTGGTGGTAGGTCTGGTTGATACAGTGTGCCACTGTTAGGGCATCCAAGGATCCACTTTCACAAGATGAATGCCAAGGTATCGCTACCTGATAGCTCAGGTGCTGGGACAATAACGGTGGCTTGCATGGTGCGACTCAGGGTTTTGACTCTTCTGTTTAAATCTGGGACACCTATTTTTAGAGTGCTAGCTGAAACCAAAAGTAAATGTTTGTCTTCTAGGGGAGCCAGGTCTTTAATTCTTGACTTGTATTTGGAAATAACACCTGCTACATACACAAATCCAACATTGTCTCTCTGTTTACAAAATTACAAAATAAAAGCATTAAAGGGTCTTTCTTGAGTTGTCTCAGCAAAAAATACAAACACATCCCCCCGCCCCCCTTCATAAGGAACACAAGCAATAAGGATGTCTTTCCCATGTGATTTTACTGTGGGGCCTTACTCATCTTTAGACTGTGAAGTTAGCCTGGCTAACGAATGGTACCAGTTAAAAAATACTCCCTTCCCTAGGTTAAGAGTTTCTTGAAGATTATTTTTAATTTGTATTTTTGCAGTTTTTTCACATAGGACTTAGATGTATAAATAATTGGAGACCAAATTCAAGGTCCTTTCCTATTTAGAAAAAACCTACAAAACCAAACCAAAACATAAACCTCAGCAGATATTTTTTCCTAATTTATAAAGGAGTAAAGATTAATAAGAACTCTAGGTTTCCATCCAGATAAAAGAGACAGCCAAATAAAAGAGAAACCACTCAGGTAATTTTTCAGAAGAGACAACCATTTGTTGGGCATATTATATGGCATTATGTATTCTCAGGTTTGGAGCCGAATGCTGCAGGCAACTTGCCCTTCAAATTCAGTTTCTATTTATTTTGGCTGCAAATCATAATCTCCTTATCAAGCAGGTATCAAGCCATCTGCTTTCATCCTCAGTAAATGCAGTAAACTTGCATTTGGGTTTGGGGCTAGAACAAGCAGTTTTCTTATGTCCAGTAATAAATACACCTTTAAAATCCATTAGGCAAAACTGGCCCAATATGAGAAAGCTCTAATGAATGAAAGCAATGTGGGGCAAAGGAAAAAAAAAAAAAAAAAAAAAAAAAAAAAAAAAGAAAAAATCTGTACAGGAACAAAACTCAATTAGAGGCTATGGTAAGCGCCAGCACTACGATTTGATTTTTGAGAAAGCTGTTCTTGCAGACTGCTAGGAATGGTGGAAACACCCAAAACACATTTTTTTTTCACAACAGAAAAACTCTCAAGACATTCAAAGTTTGGGTTCAAGCAAGCTAAAGGTGTGAAAAAGCAGCTGGTTATCTAAAGCCTATTCACATTTCTCAAATTTTCAGAGATGAGACAGCGATCCAACTGTGACAGTCTGTGCCTTGCTGATCTCTCTCAGAGCACAGCCATGAATAATAACCTAGAATGAGGGAAGACCATGCTCAGAAGCTTTAACTGCTCAAAATGGTTCAGTTAGTATTTAATTTTAAAAATGAATTTTTTAAAAGACTTGAAGGCTTGTGAGCTGAGAGCACAGAAGATGGAAAAGGAAAAGGCTATCCATCTCCTCTAGTTAACATCGACAAGAGCAGAGTTCAGGTGGCTGCAAATGTACATACTCACTACAGGAGCCCTGTTTTAGTGGAACTTTTCTCAAGCTATCAGCCTGGGAGCCAGGATTAACCTGCTGTGTTGTAGTGTTGGGGTGATGCCCCAGCCTCCACGGCATCTCCTTAACTGGGAAGGGGGTTGGGAAGCACGTAACTTAGGGTTGATCCACAGTGTAATGGAACAGCTCCAAATTGCTTCAGTGGCCTTTGAACTAGGCTCTCAATGCCAAGATTTGCTCCTACCTTTCCAAAATGCAAAGCACCCTCGTTTTTTTGTAGTGCCATCAATTTTGACAAGAGCAGTCTTGGAGAAAGGTACTGCTAGCTGTCAACAGGGGTCACTAACCAGACGTTAGTAAACCCACCCACTGTATGTCTACAATGCAAGACAGTAAGTTCCAGCTCCTACATTTGAGTGCATAACCTGCACGCACCCACACTGATGCTGAGGAGCACAACCCCACACTTCTCTGCTGTCATTTCTGCCAGAAAGAACCCTGGGTGCCTGAGTGAGAAGGAAGCTGTGGTGTGCTACGAGCACTTTCTCAGGGACATCTGCTATGCCATGTAGCCATAGTCATGCTGTATTACAAGGCCAAGACACAGGAAGATGTAATCTCTAAGCACTTGTATTATAAACACATGCCAATTCCTCTCCCCTCGTATTTTAGGAGAACAAACTTCACCTTTACACATTTTAAAAGTAATTACAGCTTAATGAAGACTCAAGAGCATTTATATTTCATTACTATCCTTTGGCAATATATTCTTTGACCTGTTCCAGTGCTGTCTGTTGTTTAAAGCTGGAAACGCTATGAACCAACCCAGAAAACATTTCTATTTTTGATATGTTTTGGAGCAGTTAAGAATAAAGGGCAATATGCCAGGAGGACCGAACACCTTGAGATGAGCATGAAGGAACTCCTGCTTTAAGCATGTCATTTAGCCCTCAAAGGGTTGAGAAAAGCCTTGAGAGGAGGCACAAGTTGTCAGGAGGCTATCGGTTTCCACATCTCTACATCACTGAGCCTCTAGTAATTCGCTGACAGAGGGTAGATCCCACCAAAACATTAGGGACTTCTGAGGATGCAAGATCCCAGGATGAATTAGAAAATTACCAAGAAAGCACTGCCAGCATACAGGCTGAAGACAAGGCATGAAATTTGGAAGCCCCACAGGAGACTTGGTACGTTCTTTACTAAGCACAATGGAAAGATCCTTGTCCACTTCTGCATGTTTTACAAAAGATACAAAGACAAGCAGCTTGTGCGTATTATGTGAAGAGGCTGCAAGCCCACACATTACTTGTCTTGGTAAGCTCTGAAGACAAACTACCCCAAAACCTGGGGGAGGGAGTATTAAAACGCCAGGGTGTGATTTGACTTTCTCTAAATTTTACTGAGCATAATTTTAAAATACCAAAAGTGTTTCTAAGCAACTGGATAAATGTCTTACTGCTGTCTCCAATGCTCAAAAAAGGAAGACTGAGCATGAGGGAGACTGGTGTCAGCCTCCTTACCATCCATTCCTCTCTTCAGATTATAAGACCCTGCCGTTACAGCCCAGATGTGCAGGACACCTTAGCAATCACAAACAGTGGAAATCCAAAGATTTCAGTCTAGCCTCAAATAACAGACAATAAAACTGCTTCTGTCTTAACAGGTGATGCACGGGGTTGCCTGAAGGAAGCTTGACCAGATTATGTTCTTCTACTTTCACAAGGTAGATAGAGACGTACTCCAAATTTACCCACACATATTCTTCATTTTCTAATGTGAATTTACCAACAGAATTTCACTACCATGTCTACCTTGCAATACAGCATTTAAAAAAAATACTTTTAGAGAACTAAAATTGTTCAGAGCAAATATATCCTATATGAAATTTGCTTATTCATTGTCATCAGTTCTGTCCTGTTCATATCACGCAGAGGAGGGAAAATCCTTTTTAAAGAAAGGATTGTATAAAATTGACAGAATTCCTCCTACCTTTGCATGTTGCTTTCTGATAAGCTTTATGGACTGTTGTGTTAAATATGCTCCTTTTGATCCAACTCCACTTTGCTTTACAGAAGTTGTGAAATTAAAGGTTTAACAATGACAGGAAGACTATTTTTACTAGGAGTAGCAGACAGAGAATAAATATACCTCAACACAGACTTTTGGGGCTTGTACTTACTTAACATAGTTTTAAAAGCAGTTCTTTCTGTGGCACAATCTGATTTTTAATCTCCTTCATTTTTTTTTTTTCTAACAGCGGTGAGCCCAAGCAATAGCATAAGCTACACCACAAAAGACATTTCTAGATTTTAACACACAATGTGAGCAAAAGTTGATTAACTTTTTTTAGATCAGTTAATCTAGTATTATCAATTTTTTAACTTCTGATTTATAAAATCCCTTATAGGCAATCTATAGGCATTTGTGTAAGTTTTTTTAATGAGTATTCACACCAGAAGGCCAGCAATGAAAGTAGAGATAAAAAGCAGATTTGACTTCAAATGTAACTTTTGACAAAGGTGATGATAGACTCTGGCCCTTGTTACAGTTTTTCTCACCCTTTCAGGGTTTACTAGTTAATTCCACTGTAAAAGCATGATCTTTCAAGCCAAAGAATAATGAAAACAGCAGTTCAGGACCATATGAACACCACAAAACTTGATTAAATCTGTGCATTTGAGAATCACTTCTAAAAGATATTGCACTCAGTAACTAATATTGCGCCTAGGCTTGCATCCCTCATTATTTGACACTTAATAAATGCTGTAAGCCCCTATATCTTTGGGGGCAAAACTAAGAAAATTTCTGAGAGATATCCTTGGCCAAACATTGCTGGCATAGTGCCAGGGAAATCCATCAGGATAGATTTGATTTGCAAGAGCAGTATTTGCAAAATCTAACAGACATTTCAATTCCCCCCTTAAAGCCAGCTCTACAAAAGATGCTTTGAAATCAGAGAAGAAAAACAGAACAGAAAACCTTTGTAAATATACCTCTGCTTTTAACTCCTCTCAGATTGAGGAGCTTCATGACACCTAGAAGGAGAGCTGTCACAAAAATACAATGGCAGGAAAGTTTTTCACAGAACACATATAACTCAACTACCAGTTAGTACCTTCTTCTCCTCCAACACACAGTCTTTCAATCACTGCACTAAAAAAAAAAAAAAAAAAAAAAAAAAAAGCATCCAGCTACTGACAGCTAAGCTTTTGCTCGCAAAACACCCCACAAATGTGACAAGTCTATCCAAAAAAGGCAAAGAACTTACCTCCCACAGCACAAACACAGAGCACAGCTTGGAAAAAGAAGGCAATCCCCAGGAGCTTCATGCTTGGTGGTGCTGCTGCTGTCAGCTCTCCCTTGCACAGCTGGGCAGGGAGTGCTCTCTCACTCTGAGGCAGGCCTTAATTACTCCATGGAAAAAGGTGTGTAGAGACTGTGCCTAGTCACTGCCCATTCCTGCTTATTTTGGGGACTTTGATAAAGAACAGGAGGAAACACAACATACTCCC